CCTCCTGGGTTCAAACAATTCTCCTGCCTCAGCCTCCCAAGTAGCTGGGACTACAGGCGTGCACCAGCATACCCAGCTAATTTTTGTGTTTTTAGTAGAGACAGGGTTTCACCTTGTTGACCAGGATGGTCTCGATCTCTTGACCTTGTGATCCACCTGCCTCAGCCTCCCGAAGTGCTTGGGATTATAGGCGTGAGCCACCGCGCCTGGCCAGTCAATCCTATTTCTATTAAATACATAATGTCTTTCTATATTTTAGTTGTTTTTAACTACACACTAATTTTCACACCCTACCACTTAGTTCCCGACTCAATGCTTCTGATCACTGCTTGTGTCCTAAGTGAATTTTACCTTTTCTTCAAGGTCCACCTAAATTTTCCAGTTCTTCCAAGATATTTCTCCAACCCACTGTGTTCTCTCCCAAAAGTATCATTCATTCATTCAATAAATACATATTGTGCAGCTTCTCTGTCCTAGACCATGTTCCAAAAGCTGAAGATGCAACAATGAACACCACAGTCTCTGTCCTACAAAAAAAAACAGTGCTCAGCCAGGAGCAGTGGCTCACACCTACAATCCCACCACTTTGAGAGGTCAAGGCAGGAGGATTGCTGGAGACCAGGAGTTCAAGACTAGCCTGAGCAACATAGCGAGACCCTACAGCTCTACATGTGAGTGCACACACATGCACAGACATACACAAATTAGCTAACCGTGGTGGTACACACTAGTTAATCATCTACTACTAGACACTCAGGAGGCTGAGTGGAAGGATTGCTTAAGGACTGCTTTAGCCCTGGGAGTTTGAGGTTACAGTGAGCTGTTATCAAGTCACTGTATTCCAGCCTGGGTGACACAGCAAGAAAACACAACAGTACAGGATTATCCAACCAGCAGATGAAACATGTATTTAGGGCACAAATAACACAAACTCTGAGAGAAAACACTTGGAAAAAGAGTAAGATTTCAAAAGTAATAATTAAAAATATATTTCACCTTAGTTTTTTGAGACAGTCTCGCCAGGCTGGAGTGCAGTGGTATGATCTCGGCTCACTGCAACCTCCACCTCCTGGGCTCAAGTGATTCTTCTGCTTCAGCCTCCCTGGTAGCTGGGATTACAGGCGCCTGCCACCATACCCAGCTAATTTTCGCATTTTTAGTGAAGACAGGGTTTCACCATATTGGCCAAGCCAGTCTTGATCTCCTGACCTCGTGGTCCACCCTCCTCGGCCTCCCAAAGTGCTGGGATTACAGGCATGAGCCACTGTACCCGGCCTAGTATTTTATTTTTAATTATAATTGGAAAGAGACCTCATGATTTTCTCAGTGCCCAAGGTTTCTGAAGGTCTTCATCTAGTCCTACTAGCCTAGTAGGAAAAATAATAATAATACTCTCCTAAAAACTTGATTCCTCTTTTGTTTTCTCTGATATGTATTCAGGTATCCAAGAAAAAAAAATCTGGGAGCTGCCCCCAACTTCTTCTTCCCAATCTTCCACACCCAGTCATCTTTGTATTTGACAAATCAGAAGAATGGCCTGATGGGACAGAAGTGGGTATATAACTAGAGACCAGCTAGAAAGCTGTAATACAACTGGAGATAATGATAATCTGAATTGTAGTGGAGGAGATTGAAAGATGTGGAAAAAAAGACATAAAAAGCGGGCTATCTATGAAACTTGGAAAGTAAACATGTGAGATAAAGAGGGAGTTCCTGAGGAAAGTTCCCTTATTTTTGGCTTGAAAACCAGTTAGATGGTGGTGCTATTCATTAAGAGAACAAGAGAATAATGGAGTTTGGGGAAAATAATACGATGGATTAATTTTTGTATATCCAAATGGAAATTTCCAGTGGGCGGCTAACTACTAGGCCTGAAACTGGAAAGAAACTTGGGTTATGGATAAGATTTTATGAATTACCAGCAGATAAATGGTAACTAAAGCTACTGAAGAAAAGAGCACAGGAAAATGAATAATAATAAGAAAATTAGTTCAAGTAGTATGTGCTCAGTGGTTGAATATAGCCAATAACAAGAACATTAACAGTAATACATGTTATTGGCCATACAACAAGAACAGACAGGGCTGGGCGGGGTGGCTCTCACCTGTAATCCCAGCACTTTGGGAGGCGGAGGTAGGCGGATCACAAGGTCAGGAGTTCAAGACCAGCCTGACCAACATGGTGAAACCATGTCTCTACTAAAAATACAAAAACAATTAGCCAGGTGTGGTAGCACATGCCACTGTACTTCAGCCTGGGTGACAGAGTGAGACTCTGTCTGAAACAAAACAGACCATGTACCTTCTAAACACTTTCCTCACATATTTTTTAAAAATTAAAATTCTTTAAACTTACTATTATTATTATCACAACATTTTACAGTCCAGAAAAACCAAGGCAAAGTATAGTGAAGTAATTTGCCTGAAATTACACATCTAGTTAAATGGTGAAGCCAGGATTTGAATACAGGTAGTCTGACTCCAGGACTTTGTTCTCAACCCTACACAAACCTCACAGTAATTCCTGAAGGTAGATATTTTTACCTATACTTTACAGATTTAAAACAATGAGGCTCAGAGAAATTAAATAACTTGTAACTTAGTAAGGTAGGGGGCTAAAATTGAAACATAAAGTTCATTTTGTTTCAAATCTCAGAGTGTAAGTAGGGATTTATAATTCTCTTATCATCTTTTACAATGCCTAGATTAGTATTAAATGTGTATTTAAATAACAGTATTGGGGCCAGATGCTGTGGCTCATGCCTATAATCTCAGCACTTTGGGAGGCCAAGGTGGGTGGATCACGAGGCCAAGATCGAGACCATCCTGGCCAACACAGTGAAACCCCGCCTCTACTAAAAATAGAGAAATTAGCTGGGCATGGTGGCGTGCTCCTGCAGTCCCAGCTACTCAGGAGGCTGAGACAAGAGGCAGAGGTTGCAGTGAGCCAAGATTGTGCCACTGCACTGTAGTCTGGTGAGAGAGAAAGAGACTCCGTCTCAAAAAAATCAAAACAAAAAAACAGTATTGGGCCAGGCACAGTTGCTCACACCTGTAATCCCAGCACTTAGGGAGGCAGAGGTGGGTAGATCACCTGAGATCAGGAGTTCAAGACCAGCCTGGCCAAAAAGGTGAAACCCCATCTCTACTAAAAAGTATAAAAATTAGCTGGGCCTTGTGGTGCATGCCTATAAACCCAGCTACTCGGGAGGTTGAGGCAGGAGCATTGCTTGAACCCAGGAGGTGGAGGTTGCCATGAGCTAAGATCGTTCCACTTCACTCTAGCCTGGGCGACAGAGTAAGACTCCATCTCAGAAAATGAATAAATAAATAAATAGAAATGAAGACTAGTATTGGCTGAGCATGGTGGCTCATGCCTGTAATCCCAACACTTTGGGAGGCTGAAGCAGGAGGATTGCTTTGAGCCCTGGAGTTTGAGACCCAGCCTGGGCAACAAAGACAGACCCTGACTCTTTCTCTCTCTCTCTCTTTTTTTTTTTAAGATGGGGTTTTGCCATGTTGCCCAGGCTGGTCTCAAACTCCTGAGCTCAGGCAATCCACCCACCTCAGCCTCCCAAAGTGTTAGGATTACAGGCATGAGCCACTGCGCCCGGCTGAGACCCTGTCTCTACAAAACCCCAAAGCAACAACAGGATTATTATTACTAATTCTGCTAATAACCTAAGAATAAGCTTAGCTCCCATTCACCTTTCACAGAAAGTTACTTGAAGATGTACCACAACATCAAGTATAAACTAGAAACAAAATTATGGGTGCAAGAGGATAGTAAAATTAAATCGCAGGACAAAAGTCTTGCTATTGTACTAGAGACTGGAGGAGGTCAATGAGCTTTGGGAGAGTGGTCCTCATGGGGAAAACTTTGAAATCTAAAAATTAGATAGTATAACTGGGAGCTTAGAGAATTTGGGAATAGACAAAGAAAACTAGTAGAATCAAGAAAAGATGTTATCTGGATTTGTCTCTGGCACTGTTCTTAAACAAGGGGCATAGTGTCATGACATCACTACCTTAGAAAAGGAGTCGGATCCTAGCGGTCCACAGTTGTAAACATTTACACAGAAATAACTTAACTGCTTATTAGTTAATATATTTCATTGATTCTAAGACTTATTTTTTCATATTTTAACATCTCTGAATGGGATTCATCTGACAATCAATTTTGTGTCATGGTTTAATTAGTTATTTTTTCCTTTTAGGTAGGAGATAAAATAATGATGCATCTTACAATGAGTAGCATGTTGAATCTGATGAATTGTGTGTGCCAAGCACTGCTTTAAATGCTATATAGTAGACTCTTCCTCAATCTTCCTAACAGTTTTATGCAGCTCATGTTACCACCATTTTTGAGGCTCAAAGATGTTAAACAATAGGTTCTAGGACTGCTGTCAAGTAAGTGGCAGAGCCAGAATTGAAAATCAGGTCTGATTTCTAAGGTCATGCTCTTATCGTTATCTCAGCACTTACCTTGGGTGATACAAAAGTGAATAAAAACCTATCGTTGTCTGAACAGCTCATATCAAGATTTAGTTCAAATGTGATCTTTCTGAAACCTTTCCAACTACCCAGGAAGAAAAAATCTTGTTCCCATCTGTACCCCCTCAACATTTTAAAAATACCTCTATAATAACTTAGTATATTGTGTAATCTCCCTGGGGCCTTGGAAGTCAGGAATATTCTCTTAACCATCCTTTTGACCCTACCTTGCCTACCACAGTTCTTGACATATAGTAGAAGCTCAATAATGTTTCTTAAAAAGGAGACAGGATCTCTGCTACTAAGTGTCGGAGACAAGAAATGCACATTAAGCTAAACAAGGTCAAAAATAGTGTTGAGGAGAATTATAAATTTAAGTGCAGTAGAGTTTAAAAGAACCAATGATAGAAAGTACAAGAGGACACAGCTCAGCCAGCTTCCAGGTTTTCACACACACCAGTCTGAAAAACCTGAAAACATCTACAATGGCTGAAACCACGCTTTTAAGGCATTTTTGAATTTTAATAAGTTACTAGTATTCATAAATTGAAATTTCACATAAAACCCACGGTATATGGATTTTCCCGAGAAACGAAGACATCTCAGAAACTGGATGCTCATTCTCCTAGAGAAATGGGTTGGAGTTGAGTATCAAATTCTCCTTTCAGATGAACTTAATGCTCCCTTATCCATCATAGTACCTTCCACCATTTTTTTAGGCTCAGCTTGCATAAGGTAATTTATCTCTCTCTCCAGTCTAGGCATCTGGGTTTATGACCCCTTCTCTAAACACATTGTTCACTGCTCTATCACACGATGAATTTTCAGGCATCCGTGTCTTTCAAATTCCATTTTGTCTAGAAAATCCTTTGCTTTTTCCAAAAGCACTTCTACTTCTCTAAGGCACTGCTTCAATTCCTTTCATTAGCTGCCTCTGAGCACCCTCTCAACAGTGTCACGCAGCACTGTGGTGTAATACCTCTATTAAAACCCTTATCAGAGAGCATGTACAAGCTTCTCTCCTTCGCGCTGACATTCGCTCCTTGAGGCCAGCGGCCCCCAATTAATTCATTTCGCGGCCCCAGCTTCGAGTCCATGGCCTGGCACCTACACCCAGGCGTTCAGTACTTTTGCGGTTCTTAATTCACGGCAAACGCAAGCTGAATTAATATTACGACCACAGAAGTGGGACTGGGGTAGATGCCAAGACTATCCCAGTAACTGGATTCTGGCCGAGAAAAAGACGCGCGCCAGCATCCCAATCGGCAAAAACTACCGGGCAAGTTGGCCCCCGCCACGCTCCTGCTCTGGGGCTCAAGTTCCAATTCTCGCGAGATTCAGCCTGAGAACTAGCCCTTCAGCTCCAGTGATTTGCGGGTTGGTTTCCTCTAGATTCTCTTGGTCAAACAGTTTTCCGACACGAACCTTTCCGGGGCTGTGCCCCGGAAGAGGAAGTGCGATCTTCGGGCTGTCAGAGTTGGTGTGTTACTCGGTAGTGGCGGAGTCTACGGAAGCCGTTTTCCCTTCACTTTTCCTGGCTCTAGAGCGCTTTCCACCTGGCGGGTGGGAGTGCACGGACGAAGGTGCGAGATGAGCACCATGTTCGCGGACACTCTCCTCATCGTATTTATCTCTGTGTGCACGGCTCTGCTCGCCGAGGGTGAGAGCAGCTATTTCTCAGACGTTTGATCAGTCCCCGGGAGGAAGGGCCCCGGGGTCCCTAGCGCCATCGGAGAAAGATCGCGAGTCTTACTTGCTTGGGAGGCTCATATACTCCACTCCGGGGAATCTCTGGGCAACTCGTGAACCGGAGCAGGAGACGAGTATGGAGTCGATTGATGAGTTTTCTTTGGTCTTAGGTAGATTTCACTTGCTTAATTGTGGAGACACCTTCACATCATGTTACAGTTGTTTTGGCTTAAGAGTCAGTTGTATTGGCCTTTGAAAAAAGTTAACTACGGGTAAATACAAAGTGAAAAGTTGGAATTCCTCTTTCTTCAACAGTAACCGCTAATAATAGGTTGTCGTGATCGTTCCAGTCATTTATTAACATGTTGCTTTTGATGTTTTAGGCATAACCTGGGTCCTGGTTTACAGGACAGACAAGTACAAGAGACTGAAGGCAGAAGTGGAAAAACAGAGTAAAAAATGTGAGTATGGCAACACATTAGAAATAGTTTCAACACGTCAAGCTCAGTAAGTCCATGTTCCCAGTAAATATTTTAAGAGCACCAACTGATACAGAGATGAATCTGACTTGAGTCCTATTTAGAAATAGAAGACTTTTATGCAAAATATGTAATACCAACTAGAGGGAAGTGAGGGATGTGGCAGATATATGTTATGTTTCCACCTGGCGGGTGGGAGTGCTGTGGTGGTTCTAAAGAAGAGGGTCTGCCTGGCGCAGCGGCTTTCTCCTGTAATCCCAGCACTTTGGAAGGCTGAGGCAGGATTGAGTCTAGGCGTTTGAGACCAGCCTGGGCAACATAGGGAGACCTTGTCTCTACAAAGAAATTTAGCTGAGTATAGTGATACACACCTATAGTCCCAGCTATTTGGGAGACTGAGGCATAAGGATCCCTTGAGCCCAGGAGGTTGAGGCCACAGTGGGCCATGATGGTGTCACTACACTGCCTCCTCAGCAACAGAGTGAGACTTGTCTTTTAAAAAAACAGAAGAGGTTTCATTCAGTTGTGAGGAACCATGGTAACCTTCATAATCCTGATGGCCTTGCAGTCCTTGTGGATAGTCACAATTTGGATAGAGAATGAAATGGGGAAAGGAAATTCCAGGTAAAGGACATAACATGAGCAAAAATATGGAAATCTTAACATTTCAGGCATGTTTGGAGGATGATAGGTCATTATGACTGGTGTCAAGGTAAGTGGTGTCTTCAGAGATAAGCCAAGTTTCAGCTGGGTTAGGAAGTTGAAGAGGTGTTTGAGGAGAATATTAAAAACAAGCAGGGTTTGTGACCTTTGAAATAAAGCAGGAATTTCACAGGACTCAGCTAAGGGTACAATGTGAATGGTTCCTTATAGGCCTGATTTAGCTTCTTTGTTCTTTTCTTTCTTTATAAGGATTAAATATAACGTTTGTTTCTTAGGATTCCTACAACTTTCTGTATTCTGTGACTTTTTGTTACATCTTCATAAAGATTCGAAGTTTGTTTCCTAAATTACCACATTTGATCCACACAGCAACCATTTGTGGTCACTTGTATAAATATTTCCTCCATGTCATAGGAAGGAAAATGAACCTCAGGATAGTAATGACAACTTACGTCACAGAGCAAACAAAGAATCTGAGACGAGACTTTTAATTACAGCTTGCTGTTCCTTCATTTACTCAGTGTTGATTATGTACCTCAACATATTTGAGCCAAACTTGTTATCTTTACCTTCACAAACATGATCCTCTTCCAGGATTTCCCTATCTTGGTGATGGGTACCTCCATGCTTCCAGTAGTATAAGTCAGAAACCTTGATATGCTTTCTTAATTTGACTTCTAGGACACCATACTCTCCTGGCTTTGCTGCTCTCTATCTTACTGGTCATCACGTTTTACATTTTTAATTTAATTTTTTTTTTTTTTTTGAGACAGGATCTCACTGTGTCACTCATAGCTCACTGCAGCCTGGACCTCCCAGGCTAAAATGACTATAGACACATGCCACCATGACTGGCTAATTTTTTGGAGAGATGAGGTCTTGCTATGTTGCCAGGGCTGGTCTCAAACTCCTAGGCTCAAGCAAGCCTCCTGGCTTGGCCTCCCAGTGCTGGGATTACAGGCATGGGCCACAGTGCCCAGCCCTTACTGATCTTTCTTCTGCAGTTTACTTGTTGGTTTCATTTCTTCACCTCCTGTTGTTGGGGGTGACACAAAATTTAGTTTTTTCTCTATATTCACTTCCTTGGTGAACCTATCTTTTGGCTGTATTGGCCAGTGACTTTCAAATTTATGTCTCTAGCCCTCTCTCCTTAATGCAAGATTAATATATCCAAGCATCAATTTGTTAGCTAGAATGTTTAGTGGAATCCCAATCCCAACACATCCCAAATTGAACACTTGTTCCTCATGTCTAATCCTGTTTCACGTGTAGCCTTATCGTGGTCAATGGCATTTCTGTCTTTCCAGTTGCTCAGGCCATAATCCTTGTGTAGTTATCTTTGACGCTTCTTACAATGCACATCTGGTCTTTTAGCAAATACTATTGGGCTTCCTTTTTGGGGAAGCACTTTGATCCAGTAAAGGTTCAGAGAGCTTCTGGTATCCAGAATCTGACTACTTTTCCAGGGTTAACCACTGTGGTCTTGGCACCATGATCTTTTGCATGGATTATTACAATAGTCTCCAACAAGCATTCCTGTCTCCCTGAAGTCTGTTCTCAATATGACAGCCAGAATAATCTTTTTAAAAGCCTATTAGATCATGTCTCTTTCACTCATCGGAAAAGCCAGCATCCTTATAATGGCCTACAGAGCTTCCTTTTTACCACTATGATTCTTTTCTTCTCACTTCCCTTGCTCCACCCACACTGTCCAGCTTGCTGTTCTTTACACATACTATCCATACTCTTGTGCTGGGACCTTTCTAGCGGTTCCTTCTGCTTAAAAATGTTCTTCCCTACAATATGTGCTGGGCTAATCCTATTACCTTCTTCAAATCTTTGTTCCAATATCACCTCTGACACTTAAGTTGACCACTCTTATTTAAAACTACAGCCTGCAAATCTCCCCTACTTCTAATATTCCTTACTCTGTTCTATTTTTCTCCTGTTGCTTTTATTACTTTCTAACGTGCTATGTGATTTACTTATTTATCACGTTATTAGTCATTATTTCTAGGTAGCAATACTGTTAGCTAGAATGAAAACTCCACTAGGACAAGGTTCTTTGTTGTTGTTTACTTATGTATCTCATTTACCTAGAACACTGACTGGCCATAGTAAATGTTTAATAAACATTTGTTGCTTTGAATGCTTTCTTCTTTTGCCCTATATATGCAGTCTGTTACCAAGCCCTATTGTTGTTTTCAGATCATTTCACATCTCTTCATTTCTCCCACCACCACCTAGTCTAAACTTCTATTATGTTTCATTTAATCTGCTGCAGTAACCTCCTCTCTGGTCCACCTGCAGCCACTCAAATGTGTCCCCTATAATGCATCTAGGGTAATTTTTTAAAGCACAAATCTAATTATGTTACTTGCCTTCCTTAAAACCTTCCAGTTTCTTCAGGATAAACATGTGGCCTACAGGGTCCATTGTGGTACAGCACCACCCTCCCTTCTCCTGGCTATGTCTTGTATCATGTTTTCTCTTGCTCCCTAGTCTTTAGTCGTTCGTGCCTTTTTTTTTTTCCTTTGGGCTAGTTTTATGGTTTCCTACTACAGGCACTTTGTATCTGTTGTTCCTCCTACCTGAAATAATTTTCCCTTCTCATTTTGTTTGGTAAACTCCTACTCATTCTTCAGATCTCAAAGCCTTATCCAGTCTCCCAGAAAGGGCCATATCTTCCTATCATAGTTTATGATTTATTCACATACCTCTCCTTAGAGCACTTGTCACAATTGCAGTTTTACCTTTATATGATTATGATCATCAGGGTAATGTCTCTTCTCAACAAAACTGTAATTTCTATGAGGACAAAGGCCATTGTATCCACAATACCCATGCAGTACCTGGCACATATTAGATACTTGATAAATGTGTTTTGAATAAATTATGTAGCATAACATCATATATATTCTCAGTGAAAAATTGTTCTACTATGATCCTATGCTAATTGGCAGCATGCAATGGCATCCCTGTATATATTTCTTCATGTCATTTATATCGTTGATTAGTTTTTTGAAATACAAAACAAATTTAGCCTCAAATTTGTTTGAATATTCTCATACCCTAAATATTTATATAATATGGATTTGCCCTATAGATTTTGAGTTTCACTGGTATCTACAATATTGCCTTGTCTTTAATTATTTGCATTACAGAAATAAATGAAAAATCTCCTTCACTGTACACTGAAATTCAAAGTAATACAGTTGAGGCCGGGTGCAGTGGCTCATGCCTGTAATCCCAACACTTTGGGAGGCTGAGGTGGGTAAATTGCTTGAGCTCAGGAGTTCAAGACCAGCCTAGGCAACAGGACAAAACCCCATTTCTACAAAACATACAAAAAATTCGCTGTACATGGTAGCATGCACCTATGGTTCCAGCTATCTGGGAGGCTGAGGTGGGAGGAGTGTTTGAGCTTGGGAGGCAGAGAGATTGCAGTGAGCAGAGATGGGAGATTGGGCCACTGCATTCCAGCCTGGGTGACAGAGTGAGACCTAATCTCAAACAAAACCCAAAACAAAACAAAGTAACACAGTTCTCAATTTACATGTCTATAGTTGCAATTTTAATATAATTTCTTCATCTGCTTACTTTGAAGGTAAGTATGATGTAGGTTGATGACTGGAATGACTCATGGCATTTCTTGTGGTCTTAAGTCCTCTATCTGGATAAGCTACCAAAACTCAGTAATCATGTGTTATTTTTATTTATATGATCAATTGACATATTTGATTGCTTGCTATGTGTTGAGTTTACCATAGTAAGTACAATATGAAATGAGTGGCCACAAATTCTGTCTTCTGGAATGTATAATCAAATGCACATCTATTATATTTAGCATGAGGGTTATTAAAAAGGAAAAATATAAGGTAAATTTCCTCTTTGAACAAATGTCTTAATTGCAAATACAGAATTCCTTCTGATACTTGGTATTCAGAATTTAGTATGGATCTAAGCAAGCGAAGTTTGTAGGGTTTTTGAAGAATATAAAAAAATATAAACAGGTTTGAATCAGAATTTGATGTAGGTTACTTTCCTTGGTACTGATCTGGTCCTTGGCATTTTTTTTTTTTTTTTTTTTTTTTTTTTGAGACGGAGTTTCGCTCTTGTTACCCAGGCTGGAGTGCAATGGCGCGATCTCGGCTCACCGCAATCTCCCCCTCCTGGGTTCAGGCAATTCTCCTGCCTCAGCCTCCCGAGCAGCTGGGATTACAGGCACGCACCACCGTGCCCAGCTAATTTTTTTTGTATTTTTAGTAGAGACGGGGTTTCACCATGTTGACCAAGATGGTCTCGATCTGTTGACCTCGTGATCCACCCGCCTCGGCCTCCCAAAGTGCTGGGATTACAGGCTTGAGCCACCGCGCCCGGCCGGCATTTTTAAAAGAATACTGGTATCCAAAAAGCAGTTCTACTGAGTTGCCTTTGACCAAAAAAAAAAAAATGCTTTCTTAAAGGTAGTGAGTTGGTTGACTCAGGTGGTCCCTAGGCTTATAGATGTGCTTATCAGCAGTTCTCCTTTTATTGTGTTTCTATTATAATATATACTAATGAAAGGATACTTCAGTAAATGAGAAAGATTAAAATTACGGTATATATAACTTGGTTCTCGTAACAAAATTGAGAACATTTACTGAGTATGAATTGCTGTGAAGTATGAGGTATTTCTGTTGTTTATGGTGAAATAGGATAAATCTTATAGAATAATTTATAAACTGTTTGGCAGAACTCTGGAATTCAGAATGGACAGAGGACAGAAATATGTTTCATAATAGACAAGTTTTATTTTTGTCAACTCTGACATTTTTACTTCTTGCTGTCAGGTGAGATTCTGATGAATAAATGTCAACACACTGAGGTTTCATCACAACCTCATGAAGTTTGAAAAACATTAGATTAATTTATCCCTAAAAAAGATTTCTCTAGTCTCAATCTGGTCTGCTAGAAGACCAGACGAATGTTTATAGAATTGTCTTATGTTTCTATTCTCTAGCCTTCTGTCTTTTTATTGCCCTATTTTTTATGTAGTCATGGCTAAATGCTAAGTAGTTGTGTTACAGTCCTTCTGGAGTGGGAAATAAATATTTTTGTTTCTTTGTTTAATAATAATGATAAAGAGTAAAACATGAAGTGTTTTCTGTCCATTTTGTCTTTTAAAATGTTATCCTTATAACATTTTAATAAAAATGTTTACTTTTATTATTATTTTTTTTTGAAACAGGGTTTTGCTCTGTCAGCCAGGCTGGATTGCAGCGACCCAATCATGGCTCACTTAAGCCTTGACTTCCCAGGCTCCTGTGATCCTCTCACCTCAGACTCCTGAGTAGCTAGGACCACAGGAGTGCACCACCATGGCTGGCTGATTTCTGTAGATTTCTTAGAGATGAGGTTTTGCCATGTTGCCCTTGCTAATCTCAAACTCCTGAACTCAAATGATCCTCCCATCTTGGCCTCCCAAAGTGCTGGGCTTACACACATGAGCCACTGTACCTGGCATAAAATGCTATTTTTAAAACATTTTAAAATGTGAAATTTGACATTTTTTAAATGATCTTTCACTAGTATGTTCATTCAAACTATTTCTCACTCTCTTTCCACAGACATGATGTTTTATTTTTGAGACAAGATCTCACTCTCGCATCTGCTGGAGCACAGTGGTGCAAACACAGCTCACTGTAGCCTCAAGCCCCGGTCTCAAGGGCACCTCCTGCTTCAGCCTCCTGTGTAGCTGAAACTACAAGCATGTGCCACCACACTCGGCTAATGTTTTAATTTTTCTGTAGAGACAGAGTCTTGCCATGTTGCTCAGGCTGATCTCAGGTCTCTCAGAACATACATATACTGCACATACACACACACACACACACACACACACACACACACACGATATATATTTTATTTTGGCCAGCAGAAATTTCATTTGCAATATTGGAGTCAAATTGAATTTTACAACTCTTGGATAAAGCAGTGATACCAATTGTGCTTTTAGAATTCAGGGACAAGGCCGGGCACGGTGGCTCATGCCTATAATTCCAGCACTTTGGGAGGCTGAGGCGAGTGGATCACAAGGTCAAGAGATCAAGACCATCCTGGTCAACATGGTGAAACCTCATCTACTAAAAATACAAAAAAAAATTAGCTGGGCATGGTGGCACATGCCTGTAATCCCAGCTACTTGGGAGGCTGAGGCAGGAGAACTGCTTGAACCCAGGAGGTAGAGGTTGCAGTGAGCCGAGACTGTGCCATTGCACTCCAGCCTGGGTAATGAGAGCGAAACTCCGTCTCAAAAAAAAAAAGAATTCAGGGACAAACTTCACGTACTAAGGGAAAGTGTTCTACCTGCTAATTCTTTTTCATGTAAGTTTTAGAAATAATACCGCTATTGTACTGTTTGCTATTAGTATACTAAGATAATATGGGTAACAGATAATATAAACTAAGTAAAAGTAATTTTTCACATCTCCCTAGACCCTTTACAGATGATTAAAGATAGTAAATATAATATTATAAATATATATCACACTGTTTTTCAAAAGCTTACTGTTACTTAATCATGATAGTAATTGAAATGCATCAGAACAATTGGTCTTAGCTTTTTTTTTTTTTTTTTTTGAGAGACAAAGTCTCACTCTGTTGCTCAGGATGGAATAGACTGGTGCTATCTCGACTCACTGCAAAATCCAGGATTCTCCTGCCTCAGCTTCCAAGTAGCTGGAATTATTGGCATATACCACCACGCCCAGCTAATTTGAGACAGGTTTCACTATATGTTGGCCAGGCTGGTCTCGACCTCCTGACCTCAGATGATGCGCCCACCTCAGCCTCCCAAAGTGCTGGGATTATAGGTGTGAGCTACCTTGCCCAGCTGGTCTTAGCTTTTTTGCCTCTCCTGATTTTCCTGCAGTGTGCATATATCTATCTTGTCACTTTAGTGTAATTGTCATTTGATTATCTCCCCTGACTAGATTATTCTTTAGAGGACAGGGATCATATTTTTTTCATCTGCCTAAAGTTACTTAGCCAATAACGGAGTCAATAAATTTCTACCTTCTGTCATAAGAGAATGGAGCTACAATTAACCCTAGTTATCTGAGAGAGGAGAATTTGAAAATGGTGCTTTCATACTGGCTAAGGTAATCATCCTCAGCTGATAGTCAGTTTTCATTATGATTGTATCAATACAATTATTTATGGGTATTTGACTAATCATGCTTATAATTATTGTTTCATTCTTAGAATATTGTGTCTACCTTTTGCCATCAGTAGCTGTGAGAGCAGGCCAGTTAGCTTAATCGTGACCATAATCAAAGTCAGTGTGTAACTTTCTTATAAGCTTCTTTCATCGGTTCATCTGCGATAAAGCATCCTTTGTTTCTTCAGTATAATGAAGTTAATTTTACTGTGTTACTGTGTTGTTTACAGTGGAAAAGAAGAAGGAAACAATAACAGAGTCAGCTGGTCGACAACAGAAAAAGAAAATAGGTAAGAAGAGATATTCATCAAAATGAAATTTGGGTTTTCTTGGAAAAAATTCTTAATGAAAATATAATAAAATTATTAATAGTGATAGCTCATGTTTCTATTATTTTTATGGTTTATAAAGCACATGCATACTTTATTGCACTTGATTCTCACCCATTTTGTGAGGTGTACAGGAAAAGTTAAATAGTTCCTCTATTTTTGCCCTTAGCTTTGAAATTTGAGTTTTGTAAAATGACAGTTGTGGTTTTTGAACATGACTGAGGGCTTTTGGCATAGTTTGTAAAAGCATATTGTTTTTTATATCTGAGATGATTATTTCCGCTTAAGTCTGAGTTACTTGTGTTCATTGTTTCTATGGCTTCCTTACTGAGAATTGACTAGTGATGGAAATCCACCAAGGGGTAGGAAATTTCTGCTGAGTAATTTTGATCTACTTTGAGAAATAATGATCATATCATATGTTTTTACTTTTTCAGTATAACTTAGAATTTAATTCTGTTTCTGAAAGACAATTTATAAAAGATTATATACGATTTGTTTTTATATGTTATGACATTTCTTGATTCTCAAATCAGGAGAAAACATTGTTGTGAGATTGTGTATTTGTTTAAGAAACTGTATCGGCCGAGCGCGGTGGCTCAAGCCTGTAATCCCAGCACTTTGGGAGGCCAAGGCGGGTGGATCACGAGGTCAAGAGATCGAGACCATCCTGGTCAACATGGTGAAACCCCATCTCTACTAAAAATACAAAAAATTAGCTGGGCATGGTGGTACATGCCTGTAATCCGAGCTATTCAGGAGGCTGAGGCAGGAGAATTGCCTGAACCCAGGAGGCGGAGGTTGCAGTGAGCTGACATCACGCCATTGTACCCCAGCCTGGGTAACAAGAGCTAAACTCCAGCTCAAAAAAAAAAAAAAGAAACTGTATCTATATACCTAGGTCACTGTTGTTACAGCTCAGGGGAGAATTCCATGAGATTAGACTATGCCAATGTCCTGTTCTGATTAAAGTTTTTCAGTTAGTGTAGGGATCCCAGATATTTTTTAAATGATCTGTTCATTTAATTTTATGGCAAAATGCTATTGAACATTTACTTTATATGTATCAGTTACTCCTAAAGGCATTGGAGAAACAAAGTAGAAAAATATTCTATTTTTATAAGCTCTGTTTAGAGAGGGAAAATAAACCAGGAAATAAATGATTACTGTGCAGGATGGTAAGTACTTTTTTGTTTGTTTGTTAGCTTGTTTTTTTGTTTTTTTTTTTTGAGACAGAGTTTCGTTCTTGTTGCTCAGGCTGAAGTGCAGTGGCGCCATCTTGGCTCACTGCAACCTCTGCCTCCCGGGTTCAAGCAATTTTCCTGCCTCAGCCTCATGAATAGCTGGTATTACAGGCATGCACCACTACACCCAGCTAATTTTTGAATTTTTAATAGAGACAGGGTTTCACCATGTTACCAGGCTGGTTTCGAACTCTTGACCTCGGGTGATTCACCCACCTCAGCCTCCCAAAGTGCTTGGATTACAGGGATGAGCCACTGTGCCATCTGAGAGTCTTGAGGAACAGAAATTTAAGGAACATCAGAAGTAAAGTTCTGAAACAGTATTGCCAGTGAAGTTGGAAAGTAGTAGTGTGACAAGTTGAGAGGAGAGTTTCAGGGAGGAGGAAGGGCCTGATTGATGATGGTAAGTATCTAAGAAATGGAGGTTATTAGTGCTTTTAGCAAAACTGGTATCAGTGGCATGATGGGGGACAGAAGCCAGATCATATAGATTAAGGAGATAATGCATGGTGAGGAAATGAAGACATTGAATGTGGACAACTCCTTTAAGTACCTTTGCTATAAAGAATAGGAGGGATAGGCCAGGCGTGGTGGCTCACACCTATAATCCCAGCACTCTGGGAGGCCGAGGTGGGTGGATCACGAGGTCAAGAGATCGAGACCATCTTGGTCAACATGGTGAAACCCCATCTCTACTAAAAATACAAAAATTAGCTGGGCATGGTGGCGCATGACTATAATCACAGCTACTTGGGAGACTGAGGCAGGAGAATCACTTGAACCCGGGAGGCAGAGGTTGCAGTAAGCTGAGATCGTGCCATTGCACTCCAGACTGGGCAACAAGAGCAAAACTCTGTCTCAAAAAAAAAAAAAAATTTATGAAGAGTTGCTTATCAAAATCTTATTGAAATTATTAGATGTAATATTTATGATGAGTTGCTTGAAAGACAATCTATCAATTCTCTAGATTTGTACATTTTAATCCTAGATTAAGTCAGACCATCTGTAAACCTAAACTGCATTATTTTGGACTTCATAAAATGCTTTTACTGTATTTCACCTTGGCATTTGCATTGTTAGGCTTATGAAAAATTCAGCCACATATAATATAACTTGTTATAGTACTAGTATGGAATATGTTTGAAAACATTATCTACAACATTATATAACTGTCTTTTGATATGAAATTGTGGAAACTGCATTGGAACAAACAAAAAGAAATTGTGGAAATGTTTCTGTTAGTTTTCAATGTCAGGAAAAGTAGCAGTCCACCTACGTAATTGATTTATCTTACAGACATGTGCTCAAACTGATTTTTTTTTTTTTTGAGATGGAGTTTCACTCTCATTGCCCAGGCTGGAGTGCAGTGGTGCCATCTTGGCTCACTGCAACCTCTACCTCCAGGGTTCAAGCGATTCTCCTGCCTCAGCCTCCCAGGTAGTTGGGACTACAGGCGCTCGCCACCATACCCAGCAAATTTTTGTATTTTTAGTAGAGATGGGGTTTCACCATGTTGGCCAGACTGGTCTTGAACTTCTGACCTCAGGTGAGCCACCCACTTTGGCTTCCCAAAGTGCTGGGATTACAGGTATGAGCCACTGTGCCTGGCTGATTTTTTTTTTTTCATTCAAATCAGCTGCTGATAAGCCTAGAATCAGATTTGCTGTTCCTCTCCAGCAAATGTATAGGACCAATTAAATGTATTTTAATGTACTGATCCTATGCAGTTTTGTTATTATCTAGCCCTTACTTTTTCTTAGCTCAGATTCCTCACTTGAGCTTATTTACAAATATATATATAGTATCTGCAGAAGAAGGGGGTATAAAGAGTAAAGCTGCTGCACTGAAAGAAGGGAGTTTTCAGTAAGAGGGAAGCAGCCAGCAATACTCAGTGTTCCAGAGAAACAAAATGTCATTGATTTCACTAGGTGAAGCTCTTTGAGAATAATCCTTGAGAGAACCACTAATCTGCAGTGCAAGTGTCTTTTGCTTTCTAACTGAAGATTTGATGTTCCCGATTCTTAATTTCAGTAGCAAATGTTTTGACTATTTTACATTTCCCTCTTATAGAAGAAAAATGAATTTACTTTTTGGTTGCATTCCAAATAAAGAAGTCATAAGGGGTTTATTTGGAGGATGTATGTGATGAGAAACTCAGGCAAAGCTGAACTAAGTGGTTACAGGAAGGCAGGAACTGTGGTAAGGCAAGTCCTGAAGGCAGAGCAAGTCCTGAGAAAAAGCCGGACAGGGATCTTCACTGTAAGACTCCACTTGTTTTTTTTTTTTTTGAGACGGAGTTTCGCTCTTGTTACCCAGGCTGGAGTGCAATGGCGCGATCTTGGCTCACCGCAACCTTCGCCTCCTGGGTTCAGGCAATTCTCCTGCCTCAGCCTCCTGAGTAGCTGGGATTACAAGCACATGCCACCATGCCCAGCTAATTTTTTTTTTTTGTATTTTTAGTAGAGATGGTGTTTCACCATGTTGACCATAATGGTCTCGATCTTTTGACCTCATGATCCACCTGCTTCGGCCTCCCAAAGTGCTGGGATTACAGGCGTGAGCCACCGCACCCGGCCGACTCCACTCGTTTTTTTAGCATTCAGCTTCTGCCTTCACCTAACCTTCCCTGTGTCCTTCCTCACTCCCAATCTCGTTGGAATATCTGCTCCAGACACTTGTGTCCTCAGGTTCTTTCTATCTCAATATTTTCATAGTGTGATCTAAGACTACCTATGTCAGTATTGCTTGAGATACTTGTGGAAAATGAAGGGTTCCAAGTATTACTCTCAGACTTTACTGAATCAGGATCTCTGGATGTGCCACCAGGAGTCTGCTTTTTTTTTTTTTTTTTTTTTTTAAACAAGCTGCCGATATAATTCTTAAAGTTTCAGAGCCAGTACTATATTATAACTTTTCTATTTCTATTCTCATAATTAATTTATTTTCCTCTAATTTTCTAGCATTAATTCCTGAGAGAGGAATCTAATTGTCTCAGCTGATCTTTTTATGTCATAGATCATGGGAGAGCCTATGGTTTGGCTGCCACTTGGGTCAGCAGTAGTAGGACAGAGGGTGTTATATAAATCTTCATGAGGCTAACCCTTCAACAGGGATTATGGTGCCAGCCAGATGTCCCCAGAAGGTGGGTGGGAAAGGGAGGGCAGACATTCTGAAGCTTGACTGAGTGGGATAGGTATCTCTTTTGTTTTTGTTTTTGTTTTGAGACGGAGTTTCGCTCTTGTTGCCCAGGCTGGAGTGCAATGGCGTGATCTTGGCTCACCGCAACCTCTGCCTCCTGGGTTCAGACAATTCTCCTGCCTCAGCCTCCTGAGTAGCTGGGATTACAGGCACATGCCACCATGCCCAGCTAATTATTTGTATTGTTAGTAGAGACGGGGTTTCACCATGTTGACCAGGATGGTCTCGATCTCTTGACCTCATGATCCACCCGCCTCGGCCTCCCAAAGTGCTGGGATTACAGGTGTGAGCCACCGCACCCGGCCCTTGTTTTTGTTTTTGAGACAGTGTTCCCCTCTGTCACCCCAGGCTGAAGTACGGTGGCATGTTCATGGCTCATTGCAACCCCAAACTCCTCCTGCCTCAGCCTCTCGAATAGCTCAGACTATAGTCATATGTCATCATGACTGGCTAATTTTTAAGTTTTTTTGTAGGGATGGGGTCTCTCTGTTACCCTTGAACTCCAGGGCTCAAGTGAGCCTCCTACCTCAGCATCCCAAAGAGCTGGGAATACAGGTGTGGGTTACCACATCTGGCCTCTTTTCTTCAAGACTTGGATTTAAATATGAGAGGAAATTTTTGAAATTTAATATATTTGGGGCCCTGAATTTATACATTTATTGTAGGCCTTTTTCTATGTTATTTGGATTGGCTGACAGCCTATTTATTCTGTGGTCAGAATGGATGTCATCATTACTACTAGTTTATTCCAATAGCCACAAGAAATATAGCCTCCAATTTGGAGTATTCCTTTTCTGAATTTTAATTTTCCCTTTTGCTAGTCACCTTGGAAAAGATATCACTCTAGAATATAAATGTATCTTCTGCATATTTCCAGATTCTTGTCTGCATGAAATTTCCTCAAATTTCATAGAGGTTGTATTCCAAACATTCACTACTTAGAGAATGCATACTTTTTTGTTTTTGTTTTGAGACAGAGTCTCACCCTGTCACCCAGGCTGGAGCACAGTGGCACGTTCATGGTCTACTGCAGCCTTAAACTCCTGGGCTCAAGTGATCCTCCCACTGTAGCCTCCCGAGTAGCTGGGACTACAGAGCACACCATCATGGCTGGCTAATTTGTAAATTTTTTTTGTAGAGACAGGGTCTTGCCATGTTGCCCAGGATGGTCTTGAACTCCTGGCCTCAAGCAATCTTCTTACCTCGGCCTCCCAAAATACTGGGATCTTCCAGCTAGAATCTGGATTTTTTTTTTTTTTTAAGAGATGGGGTCTAGCTATGTTGCCCAGGCTGGAGTGTGGTGGCTATTCATAGTCGCGAACCCACTACTTATCAGCATGGGAATTTTTACCTGCTCCGTTTTGGACCTGGGCCGGTTCACCCCTCCTTAGGCAACCTGGTGGTCCCCCACTCCTGGGAGGTCACCATATTGATGCTGAACTTAGTGTGGACACCCGATCGGCATAGTACCATTTTAGACAAATTGAAAAAAGGAAGAAAATGTAAGAGAAGGATAACTGATTTGAGATACCTAAGTACAATCATTATGTTATACTTAAAATTAACTGATTGGCAATTCCCATTGGTATAATATAAGCGTATATATTAATGTATAGAGTGAAGACATTTAATACCAGAGGTAATTTTTAAAAAAAAATTCTGAGTACAAAATATATAATATCCCAGATGTTTTCATCATCTTATTAAATGATATTGAGACAGACTGCTTTTGTAATCACCAAACAGTGACAATTTATTTAACAACTGCTCTGTGCTCAGCATTGTATGTATTAACCATCTCATTAATTCTTTGCAGAGAGACAAGAAGAGAAACTGAAGAATAACAACAGAGATCTATCAATGGTAAGAGTCCTAAATATAACTTCATGGTAAACCACATAATGTTTTTAGCAAAAGACTGATTTGCATCAAATGCATTGCACTTAACGTTTTCAGTAATGTATCAGCTATGAAGGCTGTAAATAATATCATGGGTGTTCCTGGACCAAATGGAAGTAAAATATGCTCCTGCTCTTAAACTTCATCTTAATACTGTAAATAGCTTTTTTTTAGACTGTCTCAGAGGTCATGATTTTTCCTCTTCACACAGTTCTTAGTTCCCTCTTAGGTTTTCAAATGAAGTAGTTTATTTCTTTTTTCTTCCTTATGTTAATGCTGAATCTTTGGTTTTATAGTGATATGTGTAATCCCAATATAGGAGTTGAAACATTATAAATGGCTTTAATTACTGTCCTTGGTTCTTTTTCCTTTTTCCATTTTTTTTTTTTTTGAGACAGAGTTTCGCTCTTGTTACCCAGGCTGGAGTGCAGTGGCGCAATCTCGGCTCACTGCAACCTCCGCCTGCTGGATTCAGGCAATTCTCCTGCCTCGGCCTCCTGAGTAGCTAGGACTATAGGCACGTGCCACCATGCCCAGCTAATTTTTGTATTTTTAGTAGAGACGGGGTTTCACCTTGTTGACCAGGATGGTCTCAATCTCTTGACCTTGTGATCCACCCGCCTCGGCCTCCCAAAGTGCTGGGATTATAGGCGTGAGACACCGTGCCCAGCCTCTTTTTCCTTTTTTCTTTTGAGAGATAGGGTCGTGCTTTGTCACCCAGGCTGGAATGCAGTAGCATGGTCATACTGCCACTGTGAATTCCTGGGCGCTAGGGATCCTCCTGTCTCAGCCTCCCAAGTAGCTGAGACTACAGGAGTACACCACCATGCCCGGCTAATTTTCAGTTTTGTTTTTCTTTTTTTGTAAAGATGAGGTCTTGCCATCTTGCCTACGCTGATCTTGAATTTCAGTTGATCCTCCAGAGTATTGGGATTATAGGTGTGAGCCACTGCACACTGCTCAATCTTTTTCTTTTGTTCCTTTTTTTTTTTTTTTGAGACAGAGTCTTACTCTATTACCAAGGCTGGAGTGTAGTGACTCTGTCTTGGCTGACTGTAACCTCTGCCTCCTGGGCTTATGCGCTCCTCCTACCTTGGCCTCCCAAGTAGCTGGGACTACAGGCGTGTGTCACCATGCCTGGCTTATTTTTGTATTTTTTTGTAGAGATGGGGTCTCACTATGTTGCCCATGCTGGTCTTGAAGTCCTGGGCTCAAGCCATCCACCTGCCTTGGCCTCCCAAAGTGCTGGGATTATAGGTTTGAGGTACTGCACCTGGCTCTTTTGTTCTTTAAGAGACCTTTTGTTCTCAGTATCTGGCATACTATGAAGTATAAGGAAAAGTGACTTCATTACCCATTTCCTCATTATTTATAAAGAGTAGGCTTTATTCAGACATGTCTTCCTAAAGCATAGATAGGCTGATTATATAGCTTGATGGATTTTTCACTTCTATGTATTTAACACAGGACATCTGAATTGTGCAACAGTTCTCTTTTACTTACTGAGAGACCTTTTGTTAGTACTTATGAACTCATTGGCCAGAATTGGGCCACAAAGCCACCCCAGTATTCTTCCTCACCAGATGGTAAGAAGAGGAATTGGAGGTGAAGAGTGGGTTAGCCAACACAGCTGTAGCTTTTGCTAAGGAGTACTTTTTAAAAAAATTACATGAAACCAAAACTTTTGCAGTGTGCTTTAGATGTATTTTTTTTTTTAATGTAAAATGACAATTTGTTTTGTCTCATTACAGGTTCGAATGAAATCCATGTTTGCAATTGGCTTTTGTTTCACTGCCCTAATGGGAATGTTCAATTCCATGTGAGTGTCCTTTTATATGCTTTTGCGTAATAACTATTACTCTATATCTGTATGTATGTTAGCATGAACTTTTTGGGTAACGTTTTATTTTGATGTAATTTCAAACTTAAGAAAAGTTGCAAGAATGGTATGTATATCCATTCCCACATTCACAGTTGTTAATGTTTTGCTTCATTTCTTTTTTTCTTTTCCTCTCTTTACTTTCTCTATTATATGTGTGCTCATCCGTATACTATTTTTGTGTTTTTTCATAATCATTTGAAAGTATGTTGTAGGCTCTATGCTCCTTTTCCCGCACCTACTTTGCTATATATTTCTTAAGGACATTTTCTTATATAACTTCAAAACAATTATCAAAATCAAGGGAATTTTTTTTTTGTTTTTGAGATGGAATCTCGCTCTGTCAGCCAGGCTGGAGTGCAGTGGCGCAATCTCGGCTCACTGCAGCCTCCACCTCCTTCATTCAGGGGATTCTCCTATCTCAGCCTCCCGAGTAGTTGGTATTACAGGCATGCACCATCATGCCTGGCTAATTTTTGTATTTTTAGTAGAGATGGGGTTTCGCCATGTTGGTCAGGCTGGTCTGAACTCCTAACCTCAGCTGATCCACCCGCCTCAGCCTCCCAAAGTGCTGGAATTATAGGCATGAGCCACCACACCTAGCCAGAATTTAATTTTTGTAAAATACAATTCCACGATAACTTTTTTTACCCTCTTAATATTGACGGTATTTTATGTATAAGGCTTAGGCATTATGGGTTCTCCATAAAGAATTTAATATGTTCCCTCTGTTTTTTTCAGTTGCTTACTAACAAGCTGCTTCAAAATGAAGGTAGTCATATAAAGATCTTTTGCCTCTTAAAATAGAGTCTTAATAACTATAATCTTGTTTAATGATAAGGTAAATTACTGTTGTCTAAACCAGCATATAGCAGACCTGAGTAATTGTGGAACTTCTTTTGAGAGAATATATCCAAAGATGATAATAATGTATTGCCCTTTTTTTTTTTTTTTTGAGACAGAACCTTGCTCTGTCACCCAGGCTGGATTGCAGTGGTGTAATCTCAGCTCACTGCAACCTCCACCCTCTGGGTTCAAGTGATTCTCCTGCCTCAGCCTCCCGAGTAGCTGAGATTACAGGCATGTGCTACCATGCCTGGCTACTTTTTGTATTTTTAGTAGAGACCGGGTTTCACCATGTTGGCCAAGCTGGTTTCCAATTCCTGACCTAAAGTGATCCTCCCACCTTGGCCTCCCAAAGTGCTAGGATAACAGGCGTTGAGCCACTGCACCCGGCCCATGTATTACCTTTTCAAAGCTCATCTGAACTGTACTGCAGGTATTAGAGTTTTTCTCACTCCCCCTTTCATTCCCTTCCTTTTATTCTCTTTTCCCAGCTTCTTTCCTGTCTGTCTCTCCCTCTCCCTGCATCTCTTCCCCTAGTCTATTGTTCCTTCCTACCTGTTGAGTGTATATTTTGTGCCAGGCATTGTGCTAGGTATTAGAATATAATGGCTGGGCATAGTGGCTCACGCCTGTAATCCCAGCACTTCGGGAGGCCGAGGTGAGTGGATCACCTGAAGTCAGGAGTTCAAGATCAGCCTGACCAACACGGTGAAACAAAAATAAAGAAAGAAACAAAATAAAATACTACATTCTCATTGGAAAAATTTCAAAAATATATATGTATAAAATATAAAGTAAAAATACATTTTACTCTGTATAAAATGTAAAATTACTGTCTGCCTCCAATATAGTGCATATTCATCAAGATTTGTACTTTTTGTAATAAGTATACAAACATTTTTACATTTGTATATATGAATTTTTATTTTTTTGAAACAGGGTCTTACTCTGTTGCCCAGGCTGAGGTACAGTGGAACAATCATGGCTCACTACAGCCTTGACCTAATGTGCTTAAGTGATCCTCCCACCTTAGCCTTCCGAGTAGCTGGGACTACAGATATGCACCATGATGCCTGGCTAATTTTGGGTGGGGACAGAGTCTCACTCTGTTGCCTAGGCTGGAGTGTAATGGTGTGATCTTGGCTCACTGTAGTCTTTGCCTCCTAGGTTCAAGGAATTCTTCTGCCTCAACCTCCCGAGTAGCTGGGATTACAGGCATGCACCACCATACCTGGCTAATTTTTGTATTTTTAGTAGGGACAGCGTTTTGCCATGTTGGCCAGGCTAGTCTCGAACTCCTGCCCTCAGGTGATCCACCTGCCTCTGCCTCCCAAAGTGCTAGGATTTTAGGCATGAGACATCATGCCTGACCCAAGCTATTTTTTTTTTAAATTTTTGTAGAGATGAGGTTTCACTAGTTTGCCAAGGCTGAATATAAACTTTTATACACAAGAATGGCTGTTTTATAACTTGCTATAATTTTTGTCCACACAAAAATCTGTGGCAATTTTTAAAACATAATATATATATATTAATTTCTATGTAATATTATTTTGAAGTGGCTGTATAATGTTGCATTGAATGAATGTACCTTTTTTTTTTTTGAGATGGAGTTTCATTCTTGCCCAGGCTGGACTGCAATGGCCCAATCTCAACTCACTGCAACCTCCACCTCCCGGGTTCAAATGATTCTCCTGCCTTAGCTTTTCTCTTTTTGAAACATTTTTCTATTTTATAAAAAATAAAAGGAATTATTTTCAAACCTAAAAACAATTAAGTAAAAGTATTATCTCAGAATATTGCGTATGTAGTTTAGTAATCTGTTTCTTTCATCACTACTATATATTCTATAAATTCCGATTCAGAAATGTTTATCCTTCTTATTTATTTTTTATTTATTTATATTTATTTATTTAATTTTCTCTTCTGGCCACACTTCACTAGAAAATTTTATTTATTTATTTATTTGATTTTTTTTTTAGACAGAGTCTCACTTTGTGGCCAGGCACCAGACTGGAGTCCAATCGTGTGATCTCGGCTCACTGCAGCCTCTGCCTCCTGGGTTCAAGCAATTCTCCTGCCTCAGCCTCCCGAGTAGCTGGGATTACAGGTGCATGCTACCATGCCCAGCTAATTTTTTGTATTTTTAGTAGAGATGGCGTTTCACCATGTTGGCCAGGATGGTCTCAATCTCTTGACCTGGTGATCCTCCCTCCTCGGCCTCCCAAAGTGCTGGGATTACAGGCTTGAGCCACTGTGCCCAGCTTATTTATTTATTTTTAAATAGAGACAGGGTTTCACCATCTTGGCCAGGCTGGTCTCAAACTCCTTACCTCATGATCCATCTGCCTTGGCCTCCCAAAGAGCTGGGATTACAAGCGTGAGCCCAGCATACCTGGCCTTATCCTTCTTAATATGTGTAGTTGGGACCTTCGGGTCTTAGAAAAGAATTTTTTTTATTTTTTTTTATTTTTAGACAGAGCCTTGCTCTGTCACCCAGGCTGGAGTGCAGTAGCATGATCTCAGCTCACTGCAATCTCTGTCTCTCAGGTTCAAGCAATTCTGCCTCAGCCTTCCAAGTAGCTGGTACCACAGGTGCTGCCACCATGTCCAGCTAATTTTTGTATTTTTGTGAGATGGGGTTTCACCATGTTGGCCAGGCTGGTCTTGAACTCCTGGCCTCAAGTGATCCGCCCGCCTTAGCCTCCCACAGTGTTAGGATTACAGGCGGCCTCCCACAGTATTAGGATTACAGGCATGTTAGGATTACACCATGCGTGGCCCAAAAAGAAGGTTCTTAAAATCTTACTGGTGCTATGGTTTAGAACTGTGGTTCTCAAAGTGTGACCTGGGATCCCTGGAAGTCTGAGATTCTTAAAGGAAGTCAGAGATTCTTTCAGAAGTCTTAGAAGTCAGAATGATTTTCACAGTAATTTTGAGATGTTATTTACTTTTTTTTTTTAATTCTTTTTCTCATGAGTGTACAGTGGAGTTTTCCAGAGGATTCATGATGCGTGATATTGCAGTAGCCTAAGAACTGAGGCAGCAATGATTTCTAGCTATTTTCTATTAAGCCAAACATTTAAAAGATTATAAAAATAAAATAATGCCTCTCTTTTCACTAATATTTTTGTTTTTAAATATATTCTTCAAAAGTTATTTTCATAAAAATAAATTATGTTAACATGTAATGAATTCCTTGCTATTTTTAAAATAAATTAATAAATATTTTGGCTGGGCACGGTGGCTCATGCCTGTAATCCCAGAACTTTGGGAGGCTGAGGCGGGCAGATCACCTGAGGTCAGGAGTTCGAGAACATCCTGGCCAACATGGAGAAACCCCATCTCTACTAAAAATACATATATTAGCTGGGTTTGGTGGCACACATCTGTAATCCCAGCTATTCGGGAGACTGAGGCAGGAGAATCATTTGAACCCAGGAGGCGGAGATTGCAATGAGCTGAGAGTTTGCCACTGCACTCCAGCCTGGGTGACAGAGCAAGACTCCATCTCAAATAAATAAATAAATAATATTAAACATTTCTCATTTTTAATTTCTAATACAGTAAATAATAACTATAGCCTACATAAATACAAAGTTTTTAGGGTCCTAAATAATTTGTCAGTATATAAAGGGGTCTCAATACCAAAAGAATTGAGAACCACTAATTTAGGAAAAGATTGATGAGAATAATCTAGGCTCTTCCTTACACCACAGTATTCAGGTTCATGTCTATTATTAGCATGTCACCCTTTCTTTGTTTTTCAGAGATCAAGAGACTTAAAGCTCTATTTCTGTCCCAGATTCTTCTTTGGAAGTAAGAAACTTGTCAGTCTTCCAAAAATAACAATTCTTTGTTTTTTTTTTCTTTTAGATTTGATGGTAGAGTGGTAGCAAAGCTTCCTTTTACCCCTCTTTCTTATATCCAAGGACTGTCTCACAGAAATCTGCTGGGAGATGACACCACAGACTGTTCCTTCATCTTCCTGTATATTCTCTGTACTATGTCGATTCGACAGGTGAATGATTACATCTACCATTTAATATGTATATTTTTCCTTGCTGTCATGCCAATTAGCTTTTACTTCTGTAATACTAGAAATGTTTACCCATTGTTACTGAGTTCTTTAAGTTGCTCATTTTAGAATTCCAGTGTATCATCCAAAAGCCATTTTAAATGGCAAGGTCTAGTGATCCTTAGGGATGAGAAGTAGTGATAAAACCAAATATAGATTCCATATCCCATTCTTAGAGCTCTCAGGCTCCTCCTTTTATCACAACTGCCTAAAGCTACAAGAGTAGAAAGCAGGTTTGGTCTTCCCAGTATCATTTCTTCATAATAGACCAGCACCATTTAGCAGTTCAGGAGCACAATAAGTGTAATAATGTGGTAATTTTAGATTATTCACAGCTGAGATAAAGTTTAGCTTATAGAATTTACATTTGGCCAACTTGGTGATTTGACATTCATAGTGAAAAACAGTGAGAAATAAGAAGTAAAAGGGTTATGAAGGTCCAGAAGAGAGGTATAAAATTTGATTAGTGGGAAAAGGTTCAAGCAGAAAGTGGCTTTTGAGATGAGACTATGAAAGTGAAAGGGTGGCCAGGTGACGTGGCTCATGCCTGTAATACCAGCACTTTGGTAGGCTGAGGCGTGAGGATCACTTGAGCTCGAGAATTTGAGACCAGCCTAGGCAATACGGTGAGATTACATCGCTACAAAAAATTTTAAAATTAGCTGGGTATGGTAACATGTGCCTGTAGTCCCAGCTACCCTAGAGGCCAAGGTGGGAAGGTCACCAAAGCCTGGGAGTTTGAGCTTGCAGTGAGACTTGACTACATCACTGGACTTTAGCCTGGACAACAGAGTGAGACCCTGTCTCAAAAAAAAAGAAAAAAAAGGTGAAAGGGATAATTAAGGTCTCTGCTCAAAAATTCTTTATTTTTATTCAGTTTCTGAACATACTTCCATTCGTCAGGCTTTGTAATGGTAAGGTTTGCACATGTGTAAATATGAACAGAAATCTTTCAGTATTTGTTACATAAGTGATTCTCTTTTTTCCTACTCCTTCTGAGTACTGTCTGTAGCAGAAGATTTTTGATTGATCTGTGTATTAGTTTGTTCTTGCATTGCTATAAAGAAATACCTGAGACTGAGTAATTTATAAAGAAAAGAGGTTTAATTGGCTTATGGCTCTGCAGGTTGCACAGGAAGCATGATGCTAGGTTGTACAGGAAGCATCTGCTCAACTCTAGGGAGGCCTCAGGAAACTCACAATCATAGTAGAATGCAGAAGGGGAGCAGGCATGCCACATGGCCAGAGTAGGAACGAGAGAGAGAGGTGGGAGGTTCTACACACTTTTAAACAACCAGATCTCGTGAGAACTCACTCACTACCACAAGAACAGTACTAAGGGGGATGGTACTAAACCACACAATTTGACATGAGATTTGGGTGGGGACACAAATTCAAACCATTATCAACCTGTCATGTGAGAATCAATGGGAAATCAAATTACAGTTCATGGCTCACCAAGATCTTTTTCATTGTATTGCTTAATATTTTTTCCCAATTCATATCTCATCACATCCCCACAAATACAGCACTTTGACCATTCTGGCTTGCTTAATAGTTTTCATGTTACAGTCACTCAGATGTACTTTTCGCTTCTGTGTTTCCTTCTTTCTGAGTGCCTCCCTCTTCTTTCTTTTAAACAAAATCAAGTTTCAAGGCTTCCTTTTCTGGCACATATTTTCTGGCACTTACTGCACTGTGAAGGTTAGCTATAAGAGGAGCATGACTAAATACAGAAATATCAAAAGACTATTGTAATAGTGTAACAAAAAATCATTATATTATAAACTATAACAGTGAAGAGAGGGATGAAAAGGATGGGACAAGATTGAGAAATAAATAGAAGGTGAAACCAGCTGAACTTAGTTATTAATTTAATGTGAAGGAGAAAAGAAAAACTAAGATGACTTGCATTTTCTGATTTTGGTGACCAAATGGGGAAAAGTTTCACTAAGAGGTGGGGAATAGTTTATCTAACAGGTTGGGAATAGAAGAAAGAAGAGTATGCTGGTTAGAAGACTGCTGAGTTTGAGGTGTTTGTTGAATAGCTACATAATTATGTCCACCAAGAAGTTGTACTCAGGCTTAGCTGAAGTATATACTAAAATTTTTGAAATAGTCTCTGTAATAGGCCTACCTTAGCCCATTTTCTGTTGCTGCAACAGTATACCACAGCCTGGGTAATTTATAAAGACAGTTTAGCTCACAGTTCTGCAGGATGTCCAAGAGCATGGTGCTGGCATCTGCTGAGGGTCTTCCTACTGCATTGTAACTTGGTGGAGGACATCACATGGTGAGAAGGCAAGAGCGAGAAGCAGAGAAAGCTCACTTTTATAACAAAGCCACCCGCCTTGGCCTCCCAAAGTGCTGGGATTACAGGCTTGAGCCACCGCGCCTGGCCTAAGTCTGAAATTTTACAATTGTAGCTTGGGTTGACATCTTAATAAAACACAATGATGTATATATTTCCCTTTAAGCACCAAAGAGCAATTCTGGGTTCTTTTGTTTTTTTCTTTTTTTTTTTTTGAGATAGTCTTGCTTTGTCACCAAGGTTGGAGTGCAATAGCTCTATCTTGGCTCATTGCAACCTCTGCCTTCCAGGTTCAAGTGATTTTCCTGCCTCCTGAGTAGCTGGGATTACAGGTACCCACCACCATGCCTGGCTAAGTTTTTTGTAGTTTTAACAGAGACAGGGTCTTGCCATGTTGGCCAGGCTGGTCTCGAACTCCTGACCTGAGGTGATTCACCAGCCTCGGCCTCCCAAAGTGCTGGGTGCCTGGTAGCGTTCCATTCTTAAGTGTTGGCATAGGAAACATGGAGGCATGAACGTTTGCAATGGACTACAGTATAGGAACTACTGAATCTAAAATGGTTGGTGGGATGTAATAGGAAGTGAAGTTGTCACTGAGGAGGATTGCCTGAATCTCTACTTCATGATGTAGTATTAAGGGATTTCTTTTTTCTTTCTTATGCATCTTATAGTGCAAATCTGCTGGTGACAAATTAAATCTTCATTTATCTGAAAATATCTTTATTTTATCTTCATTCTTGATGGATATTTTCATTGGACATAGAATTCTGAGTTGGCTTTTTTGTTTGTTTTAGGCTGTAAGCATTTTAAATGCCTTTTCACTATTTTCTGGCCTCCGTTGTTTGTAAAACGTTCTTCATGTCTTTGTGTTCTCTAAGTAATGTCACTTTTCTGTAGCTGCTTTCAGATTTTCTCTTTGAGATTGGTTCTCAGAAATTTGAGTAGGATGTGCCTCGGGTATTTTTTATTTTTATTTTTATTTTTTTTTGAGATGGAGTTTCGCTGTTGTTACCCAGACTGGAGTGCAATGGCACGATCTTGGCTCACCGCAACCTCCGCCTCCTGGGTTCAAGCAATTCTCCTGCCTCAGCCTCCCGAGTAGCTGGGACTACAGGCGCGCACCACCATGCCCAGCTAATTTTTGTATTTTTAGTAGAGATGGGGTTTCACCATATTGACCAGGATGGTCTCGATCTCTTGACCTCGTGATCCACCCGCCTCGGCCTCCCAAAGTGCTGGGATTACAGGCGTGAGTCACCACTCGTGGCTCTTTTTTTGTTGTCTCTCTGTGTTTTAGGATTCTTTCTCTATTTTGAGTAGCTATGGTTTTCCTCAACCTTGGTTTTTGGTTCTTCAAACCAGTAAGATTGTAGTTTATTCTGAGTTTTAGACTCTTCACAGTGCTGACTGGGGTTATGCCCTCCATTATGAGATTTTCAAAAAATAAAATAAAACATTTTATCTTTCTGCACTACACTAAAATTCAGAACATTCTCTCTGAGTGATCCTCAGAGAAGGAGCTAAAAGAGATCTAGGGACATTTTCATTGGAAAGATGGGGGAGAAAGAGAAAGAGGGACAGAGGAAGGAAGTGAGAGAGAGAGAGATTGTCACTTAATCCCCTGACCCCAGCACGAAAGACCTTCATTACAAAGAGGGCCTTTGGTCAACCTAAGACAAAAAATATTCATTCATCATTACAAAGCAAGTAACATTATTCTAGTGCAGATTTGATGTGTTCATCCTTCAGATTTTTGATTTCTACTTTGTAAGATATATGTTAAGAAGGACCCAGAAGGGGGCTTCAGTTTTCTACCCTATTTTGTTTTCTGTATTGGGCTTCTTTACATCACATTTTATTTTTCAGAAGTCTTCTGTTAAACTCTGTGAATTGTGTACAAAAAAAAAAAAGATGAATAGAAGTTTATTTTAAAAATTAGGACTGGCATGGTGGCTCACGCCTGTAAGCCCAGCACTTTGGGAGACTGAGGAAGATGGATCCCAAGATCAGGAGATTGAGACCAGCCTGGCCAATATGGTGAAACCCCATCTCTACTAAAAATATAAAAATTAGCCGGGTGTGGTGGCGGGTGCCTGTAGTCCCAGCTACTCAGGAGGCTGAGGCAGCAGAATTGCTTGAACCCAGGAGGCGGAGGTTGCAGTGAGCTAAGATGGCGCCATTGCACTCCAGCCTGGGTGACAGAGCAAGACTCTGTTAAAAAAAAAAAAAGAAAGAAATTTACTTTACAAATTAAAAAATAAAAGAGTTCTTAAAGGCTATAAGGGTCTGAAAATGATTGATCTAGTCAACCCTGTTTTTTTTAATGGTAAGGAAATTGAGATTTGGTAAAATGAAGACAGTCCTATTATTTTATTGTCTAGTTTGTCAGCACTAGAACCCAAGTTTTCTGATTGCTAACCCAATAATATTTCAACAATGTCAAGCTTGTACTGTCTGGTTTTCAAAGTAAATATTTAATCTCTACATTATTTTTCCCAAATAGTCTAGTCAGATATAATGTGAGAACCCTGGTAATATTGGAAGGTGTCGTTTTGAAGTCATTAGATTTTATACACAACTTTGTTGAGACAGTAAAGATATGTATGGGGGCTGGCCTCAGTGACTCATGCCTGTAATCCCAGCACTTTGGGAGGCTGAGGCGGGCGGATTGATCGCTTCAGGTCAGGAGTTTGAGACCAGCCTGACCAATATGGTGAAACCCTGTCTCTACTAAAAATACAAAAATTAGCCGAGTGTGGTGGCAGGTATCTGTAATCCCAGCTACTGTGGAGGCTGAGGCAGGAGAATTGTTTGAACCTGAGAGGCAGAGGTTGTAGTCAGCCAAGACTGTACCACTACTCCAGCCTGGGCAACAGAGCGTGCCTCAAAAAAAAAAAAAAAAAAAGATTGTGTTATGGTAATAAATGAGATATTGGAATTAATTGGAAGTGAAGACTGGTTGCCAGATGCCAGAGAAACTAACAGAGTGAACTGAGGATTGTCATGTGTGTGTTATTTTAGCTAAATGACTAAGGAATAAAATTTAGCAGATTGTGTTTATCACCATTGACCTGGGTCTTCCCAAAGTGTCAAGTAACCAACAACTTCCGTTTCTTGATCACTGGGTCTTAATCTTTGTAAAGAGGAAAGAACACAACTTCTATGGTGGCATTTTTCTGGTTTTCATGCCAATAGAAGACACAATTATGGGAAAATGTTTTTCCTTTGTTTTTCTCTTCTGAGTATACACTCTTCATTTGTTACCTGTTACACAGGACTGGACAGGAATTCAAAATAATTGTTTTACATCTTTCCAAAACTTGATTGCATCTTACTATATTTTACATTTGTATTTTCTTTCATAGCATCTTTGTTATATATTAAAACTCCTGTTTTTAGCTAAATGCATATTTCTTTTTTTTTTTTTTTTTTTTTTGGGAAACGGGGTCTCGCTGTATCACCCTGCTGGAGTGCAGTGGTGCAATCTCAGCTCATCACAACCTCCGCCTCCCCTGTTCAAGTGATTCTACTGCCTCAGCCTCCCAAGTAGCTGGTATTACAAGTATGCATAGAGATGGGTTTCACCATGTTGGCAAGCTGGTCTCGAACTCCTGACCTCAGGTGATCCACTCACCTCAGCCTCCCAAAGTGCTGGGATTACAGGTGTGAGCCACCATGCCCTGCCGAAACTGAAAATTATAGACAGTGCAGTATTGACAAATCCAGCCAGCAGACCCATTCTTGAAGAAAATGCCTGTAAGAAATAGCTAATGAATATTCTTCATATGCTTCATGTTAAAAATAAAAGATTATCTCCTTTTATGATTCTCTACTTCATAAAGATCAGCCACTTTGATTAGTAGGCCAAAGTCTCATCAGGTATGGAAGGCTTTTACTGTTCTATGATTTTCATTGCATTGTAGGCCTTTTAAAAAATAATATAGTAATAATCATCCTATTACAGGTCATAATGGTACCTTTAATTTATATGAGTTGCCTTTGCCTGAGAGCTACATAAAACATGTCTTCTGTATATTTGATATTAAAACTCAATTCTTACTATGTTTTCTTTACAGAACATTCAGAAGATTCTTGGCCTTGCCCCTTCACGAGCTGCCACCAAGCAGGCAGGTGGATTTCTTGGCCCACCCCCTCCTTCTGGGAAGTTTTCTTGAACTCAAGCAGAACTTTATTTTCTATCATTCTTTCTAGACACATACATCAGACTGGCAACTGTTTTGTAGCAAGAGCCATAGATAGCCTTAGTACTTGGGCCTCTTTCTAGTTTTGAATTATTTCTAGGCCTTTTGGGTATGATTAGAGTGAGAATGGCATCCAGCAAACTTGATCATGCTTTTGGTCCTAGATGGTTTTCAAATAAGCGAATTGATTAGTTAAGTTCAGGTGATGTTTATGTAATGAAAAACAAATAGCATCCTTCTTGTTTCATTTACATAAGAATTTTCTATGAGACTGACTCTCAAGGCCCTATGTATGCCCTGCAAGAGATCTAGAAGGAAGATTTAGTTTGTATAACTCTTAATTGTAACTGTTTGTTGAGCTGTTTTTTTTTTTAAGCCAAATATATGACATAAGATCAATAAAGAGGCCAAACTTTTAGCTATGTTATGCACAAGGAGAGATCTGTTTCATTTTGCTTTGCCCTATTTCTAGATGTAAGTTTTAGCATTGGCCAGGAAGGGCTAAAAATGAAGTTTTTAAGGTACTATACTTTTTTGCCATACTTCACTCATGTACTCAAAATACAGAGTTGTCCTGGTGTAGGAACAGGAAAGCAGGAGTGGAAAGGAACATAATAATTCATGGGAGTTTAAAAATCAGGGTCTTGGCAAGTAACACTGATGACTGAAAAAAAAACCAAATTAAATAGAAATAAATAAATTAAAATGAGGGTCCTCAACCATTCTCTTCATATCCTATTACAGTCTCTTGGATTCTTGTAGGAGCACTTAGATCTCCTTTGGAGGCAAGGATACAGTTATATGTTGTTAATCTTGCAGAGCTTTCTTTTAGTCACAATAGCCTTCAGTTTCTGCCATGCCTCTTCATAAGGGAGAAGGATATTTGTACCATGATCCTCCCCCATAATCTATGGAATTAGGAGTCCTGTGTGGGGTCCGCTCAATAAATATGCACATTCATCAAATGTCTACTTAAATGTGAGTATTCTACCAGTGAGAAAAAACACATAATTTTCAAAGTAATAACTGTTAAACCAACAGCAAACTTCTTTCTTATCAGCACCATAAAGTCCAGAAGACAGTGGAAAAATAACTTCACAGTGCTGAGGAAAATAAGTATCAACTTAGAATTTTATTCACAACATTGGAGGCAAAATAACGACATGTTTGCACATAAAAAAATTAAGACAATTCAATTATTAAAGGTCATATTTCAAGGATAGAAAAGAAAATCTGTCCAAGGTGAAGGTATGGGATACAAGAAACAATGATCAACAAAGAAATAAAATATATGGATAAATTTAAATGTTTTATGGATTATATAATTTAAGAATTATCCCAAGACGACCCTACAAGGTAATCACTGTTCTTTTTTTTTTTTGAGACTGAGTTTCGCTCCTGTTACCCAGGCTGGAGTGCAATGGCGCAATCTCGACTCACTGCAACCTCCGCCTCCTGGGTTCAGGCAATTCTCCTGCCTTAGCCTCCTGAGTAGCTGGGATTACAGGCACGCGCCACTATGTCCAGCTAATATTTTGTATTTTTAGTAGAGACGGGGTTTCACCATGTTGACCAGGATGGTCTGGATCTCTTGACCTCTTGATCCACCCTCTTCGGCCTCCCAAAGTGCTGGGATTATAGGCTTGAGCCACCGCGCCAGCCCTGTAATCACTGTTCTTACCTTCATTTAACAGATGAGGACGCTGGGGCACGGGAGGTTAGTAACTTGCTTCTCATCACAGAGCTATTGAGTGGCAGAGTCAGGATTTGAATTCAACCATTGTAAAGACAAATAGTCCAGACTGTCAAGCTCTATATTACAGCCTCCTCATAGGTATGCGGTGATTCTCTTCTCATCACCTCATCTCCTCAACTAGACTGTGTGAGCTCTCTCAAGTTGGACTTTGTCTTTTTTTTGTTCTCCTTTTTACAAAGTAGTCAACATGAGTGGGAACATAGCAGGAGCTCAATAAAAGCAGATAAAAGGGAACAGAAGTCCCTATTTTTATCAGAAGGATGTCTGATAATGGATGATGATAACTTTTAATGGTCTTTTCTCCATGTCATTGACCACTATAAGCAAAATAATAATTTTAATGATAATGAAGAAAATGATGCTCCTAACAATAATGACAAATATGAAATATCTAAAATAAAAAATGAAAAGAAACCATCCTCAAAATTCTGCCATTGCCTTTTTAAAGTGAGAATGTATAGCACACTCTTATCACTCGTACCCTGAGGCTTTGAAGTTGGTGCTTTCTAATTCGATTCCTTATGGGCCAGGTTTTTATATACAAATTATGTTTCCATAGTAAAGGATAAATAAGAGGAAGAAGTTAAAAAAGGAGAGGAAGCAGAGATTGCATCTATTCACCCTATTCATTTAAAATTTTTCTTTTTTCCAAATATATTCTGCTTATGTATATTTACCCTGTTCTTAACAGCACAATAACAAAGATACATTACAGAGGAAATAAAGCTCACATCACAAGATTTAAGTTCAAGGAGTTATTAAGGGCTACTGCAGCCCCACAATTAGCTTTCTTAAAATTTTTTGTTTTGAAGAAATTTCAAGACTAGTTATTTGGATGACACTCTTTAAGTCCACAACATCACCAGATCATTGGAGATGACATTTCAAGACAGGCCTGTGAATATCTCTCAAAACACATACTTTGGCTATTTTCCCTATGCAAAAAGAGGTGGATTGTCTCATGTCTAGTGAAAAACAATCAGCCCTTACTGATATCTGTATTAGGTTATTTAGGTTACACTCATAATATGTTCAAGTAGTATGTTTTCAAAAATGAAGGTAAACCTGAGTTTATTAACAGATTGCATTCTAAAGGCTAAGCTAGTTTGGAAATTGGAAAGCAAATGTGTGTAGGTATTCATATGCCCTTGACTAGACTGGGCCTCTCTCTACTGGTATGTCATTCTCTCTAACAGGGTCAGTTACTTAAAATGACATCAGACAATTGATAGAACATCCAGATCCCCCTTACCTCCAGAACAAAAGCATTTTACCATATACTAGTATGAAGTAGGTTTTTTTTTTCTGACTATTTATACTTATTTTGTGTATTTCAATACTGCCCTTTAAATAAAAGTACTATATACTTTCTCTTTTTTTGGATTAATTCTGCTCAAGTTACAGTCTTTTAATTTATTCTAGTTTGAGTTTTAAAAAAATTTAGAATGAAAAAAATCTCAAAAAATATATATATAGAGAGAATATATATGTGTGTATATATATACAGAGAGATAGATAGATAGATAGAGAATGAATAAACACCTAGGTACCCATCCTCCACCTTTGACAATTATCAACTCCTAGCTAATTTGTATCATCTATAATCCCATCTGCTTCTGCCCTTTCTGTATTATTTTAAAGTAAATCTTATAATTTATCTGTAAATATTTCAGGGCTTTAAAAAATATGTATAATCTTAATACCATTTTTACACCTAAGAAAACAGACAACTCCTTCATACTATAAGTTGTCTATAGATGTCAAAAATTTTTGCAGTTTTTTTGGGATTAGGAACCAAATAAAGTACTGAATGTTGCAGTTGGCTGATACACATCCTAAATATCTTCTATTATTGTGGTCCTGAAACTAGAGTGTATCAAAATCACTAGAGCCTTGTTAAACTGCTGGGACCCACCCCAGAGTTAGTGATCTGTAAGTCTCTTGTGGAGTCTGTGAATTTGCCGCTCTAACAAATTCCCTGGTGATGCTGAAACTGCAGGTTTGGGGTTCAGTTAGGTATTGGTTCATCACCATCTCTCTGCCCTCCACAACATACTTGTTCAAGAAGTTGTGTCGTTTACCTTGTAGAGTTTTTATTAGTTTGGATTTTGCTGATTGCATGCTGGTTTTTTCATATTGTTGGTTGTCTCTTTGTAATGTGAGCAGCTTTTGATCTATTAATGAGTTATTAAAAATGATGGTATTCTAATTATAGTATTCCTTCATTTATTATCTAAAATACCTTTGTAGATAGAAACTTCTCCTCATCTACTTTTTGGGGGAAAGTTAAGAATAAATGTTTAACTCCTTGGTCTTCAAAATAATGAGTTGTTTATTAGTATCTTCCAATAGTGAATAATTAATGTGTATGTCATTAGCAATTCATGCATTTAAACATATTTGATGTACTTCAGTCTGCTGAAACTATTTCTCTTATGAATGCTCAAATTGTCCCATTTTTGGCCAGTGAGAGCCTCTTTAATTGGCTCCTGAGTCCATCTGCATGACCCTTGTTGTCATTGATAGCATCTTTAAGTGATATAACAAGATGTTCTAAGGCTCATCTTGTGTATTTCCTGCCTGACTTGAAAACAATTTCTCCAAAGAGGCTTGTTTCCTCTTTACCAGAAAATGGCATTTGGAAATTGGAATCAGAGCACTAGAAATGTTCATTGAGACTGGGTTCGTAGGTTTCTAGGCCTTTCTGTGGACTAACGTTGGTATTATTTGTTGTTTTCATATAAAATACAGTGTGAAATTATACTGATACGGCCGGGCGCAGTGGCTCATGCCTGTAATCCTAGCACTTTGGGAGGCCAAGGTGGGTGGATCACCTGAGGTCAGGAGTTCAAGACTGGCCTGGCCAACATGGTGAAACCCCATCTTAAAAAAAAAGAAAAAGAAAAAGAAATTATACTGATACTCAGTGCTACAGAATTTTTACTTAATTTCTTTGGTCTGTGTCTCCTTATCAAAGCATATAAGAATTCCAATTTTCAGCATGTGGCTGATAGAATATTACATAATTATTCATTAGTATAATTGAAAAATATACACTCAGAAGTCTCGGAATATCAACATAAACATTACCAACAATATAGTTACTGGAAATAGTTTAAATTTTGTTTTTTGGGGGATAGAAAACAGGGAGGATTGTGTAAGCTATATGTATCACACTATGGGTTCACAGTCCCAATACTGAGATTTCAAGTTATCTGGAATAGTTTCTTTAAGGTTATTGCCAACAGAATATACATTTACCTCTGTTTGATTTTACTTCCAATTTTTAGAGATTATTCTTTAATTTTACTTTATATGTTTTGATGGGTTTCTAGGCTTTGCACAAAAAAGCATACTTAAGCTACATAGAGATGGGCACCCATTACCACACTTCTCTTATGAGTTTAACCCCACTCATAAGCCCCATAATGTGTGAAAAGATGGGTGGGTAAAATTCTTACCAGAAACAATTTAATTTTAAGCCAATAGTGGGGCTGGCAGGGACACTCTGCAGTGACATTGCCCCCTTACATTTCACATTTGTTGGCTAAAGGGAAGAGACCTACTGGGAAGAGAATATTATGTGGGATGTCACCAACATTGACTCGGGTCCTTATCACTGTCCCCTTAAGTTTTCTGCAGTAGCAGAAACCTTTATTCTAGTTTCCCTGACTCCAG